CATGTTTGTTAACTCTAAGTTCTAATCACTGATCCAATGTTCTGGCACTTCCCCTCAAGTTTTATTTTTGTGACCTTATCAACTTCTATTTTCGCTATGTCATGACACACATACTCCTCTCTGACCTCTTTCGTATTAATAAAGTATGTCAATATTTGTGATAACTTTGACTTCGAAGTATTATTGGTCTTAAGTAGCTGATGAGGGCCTAACAAAGTAAGATGGTCTGCAGCAATCTCTGTCTTATCTCTTTAAGATAAGATAATAGAGGGAGTTATATGTATCAAAGTAAACTTAGTTGAAGTCAAATGGCATTTATGGAGGCTTTGTTTGCGGTCTGTGCTCAGTCCCATGGTAGCCGGTGATCAACAATAGGTTCATACGCCATTTGTTTCCTTGTGATCCTGAAGCCCATGTGCACTATTGGTTTAAAATCAAGGTCTCCCAACTCCCGTAGGTGAACCTTCCATATCCATCAACCCGGTTAAAATGCCAGACATTCGCTTTTCATTCTCTTGATTTCGTAAAAAACACCCCCACCACGAGAAGGCAGTGAGCAGGACTTCCATGGCAGTGGTTGTATGCACGTGACCATGTGAGGGCATTTGGAGGCTTATCGAGAAATATAGTTTTCAAATTCTTTTGGTTATGCTGGAAATTGTGTGGCGCACATGTGTCTGGTGCCCCCTTGTACCAATATTTATATGTTCAAATAAATAAAATTCTGAAAATTCTTTATCAATAATATTGAAAATCGTATGCATCTGTGCAACAGTCTCGTTTGTTGCACTTTTTGGAAGCGTAAAGATAAGGTCCTCGTTTTCAGTTCCTACTTTATATGATATCGCAGTATTCTTTGTGTTCTGTACCGTATTTTATGGAAGTTACTTAAGTGGTTGTAAAAAATCTAGTTAGATTCTGACGTCCATAATATGAGGGCACATGACATGACATTTTCGAATGTCCTAGCCAGTCAGTCAGCTACAACGTAGGACCAGGCATATATATGCATCGGTCCAAGTTGCCATACCCCATCAACACAACAAGATGGACACCGGATTCATAAAAGTAGTTAATTCAGAGGTGGTAATATATACAAGAAAGATTGCAATAAGGATATAGTACAGGAAGAAAGAATTAGTTCGTAGAAAGATGTGAAGCGATTTTAATCACTTAGTTTAAGGGAAGACACAGAGTGTATATACCTGCAACATTATGATCGATTCGGAGCCATGTCATAGTCTCGCGGACCCCAGCCAAGTAGTCTGCATCTACCAACATGGCTCAGCCTAGAAGTAAGTGACTTCAAGCACTGATGCCACGTTTTGGTTTGGCCGCCCCTAACTTTCTTCCAACCATCTCGAACACCTGTCAGCATTGCACGTCGTGGTAATCGGTGTTCGGGCATACGTAACACGGCCCAACCATCTCAGTCGATGAAGATTCACAACCTCATCAACTGATTTACCATCATTTTCTAATACCCTGCGTCTAACCTTTCTATTACTTACCCGGTGATCCCAGCAGACGCCAGCAATATTTCTAAGGCATCTGTGGTCAAATACTAGTAGCTTACGAGTGTCTTCTACTCTTAATGGCCCTGTTTCGCTGCTGTAAATTAAAACAGAAAGGACTGCCGCACAGTATACTCGTCCTTTTGTTGATAGACGGATATCTCGCCTTCGCCAAAGGTGACGTGAGTTGGCAAAAGCCAAATGAGCTCTTAGAATCCGTGCTGAGATGTCGTCAGACACTAACCCATTAGGGCTGATCGGACTACCAAGATGAATGAAGTTGTCAACGTGTTCGACTAATTCACTCCCTATCCTTAGTTCAGGTGTTGACGCAGTCCAGTCCTGAAGCAACAACTTGCATTTAGAGGGGGGGAGACTCATCCCAAAAATCCTGGCATTGTTGCTTAGTGCTATCAAAAGACTGCATTTTATTAGAGTACTCATCAAACAGGACTATATAATCTGCGTATTCTAAGTCGATAAGTGGACCTCCTGGAAGGAGATCAATACCCGAGAATTCAGTCGACGAGAAAGTTATTTCCATCAGTAGGTCTATGATGAAGTTAAACAACAATGGAGAAAGTGGACAGCCTTGACGGACACTACTTGAAGTTGCAAAAGCAGATGACAGTTCGCCATAAGCTCTGACTCGACTAGTAGTGTTCGAGCAAAGAGCCTTTACAAGGTTTATATACTTCTGAGGTACGCATTTCAATGACACACTGCCACAGGATCTCGCGGTATATGGAGTCAAATGCTGCTTTCAAGTCAAGAAAGACCATCATTGTCGGACGCCGATAAGTATGCCTGTGTTCTAGAACCTGACGAATGGTGAATATGTGGTCGATGCAGCCACGACCAGGTCTGAAGCCAGCTTGATTCTCTCGTGTTTGTAGTTCACGAGTCTTAGTTGGGCGTCTGATAATTATCGAGGCTAGTATTTTAGATACTATATTAGTTAAACTAATCCCTCCATGGTTGTCACAGGCTGATTTTAACCCTCTCTTATATATTGGGACGATAAGTGATTGTGACCAGTCAGATGGGACAACGTCTAACTTCCAGATCTTAGCTAAAATATTAGTCAACCTAATCGTTAAAATTGGACCACTATCCTTAAAGACCTCTGAAGCCAATCCATTTGGACCAGCTGCCCTTCCTCATTTCAGATTAGTTATAGCCTTTTGAACTTCGGCTAGGATTGTTCCATTCACACTGTCTGGGAATGGAGGGTAGTTGTAGAGTAGCTGAAGGCCAGTTGAACTGTTCTCTGAAATGTTCCGCCCATCGTTATAAACGTCTGGACTGAGAGCAGATGACGGTGTCGTCTTTTTCCGAAATAATCTGACTTACACTTGACTTATTAATTCCAGTTTCTTTTATTAGTCTGTAGAGCTGTCTTGTGTTCCCTATTGCCGCCGCCTTTTCCATCTCTTTTGCTTTCGTTGCCCACCACTGCTCACGGTCGTTCCTTAGACTTTTGCTTAACCTAGATCTGATTTATTTTCGCTCTTCATCGTGTTCAGAGCGTGATGGGATGAGTTTACGAGAATCCATCAGTGCAATAGACCATGAGGAAATCCATTGGTTCTTTGTAACCCTGTGGTTTAAATCATTGATAGATTTCACTGCTGTTTGTATACCTTTCCAAGCAACGTCTGGGTCAATCTCGTTTCCAAAACTTCCTAAGTGTGAACTCAGTTGTTCCCGGAATCTACTTTTGGTTTTCTCGCTACTCAATTCTAATGGGTCTTTTTACTGTGGCTTTTTTGCGTCCAGTGAGGCGCAAGCAGATGCGTGCCCGTATTAGGGCATGATCGGAGTCCAAGCAGGTACACCGGAATGAGCGACAATCTTCTACCGACCCTCTCCAACAATGACTGATGGCAATATGGTCTATTTGAGTCCATCGTTAGTTTGGTGTAGGGGATCGCCATGTTAGACGATGCTTCTCCTTATGCTTAAAATTTGTTTGCTAAAAATAAACGATTGTCTGAGCACAGTTGCAGCAGACGGTCACCATTATATGTTTGCTGTGCCGGAATACTAATATACCCACCTAAATGCCTTTCTGTTTGGTTTAAACTACGTATCTGGGCATTAAAGTCACCTGCTACGAGTACTATGTTTGAACTGTTAGCTTTCTGTAAAATTCATCTTCCACTTCATCTGAGCTGCAGTCGGTGGGAGCGTAGGCAGAAACGACGAGAAGACAACATCGTGTGTCCCTATCCTTCCGAGTTCTTACGGAGCCGTTTAGCCGGACAGCACATAAACGACTGTTAACGGGGATCCACTCTAACAGTGCTTGTTCCGCCCTCATGCTTAGTGCTATCCCTACTCCTGCCAGTCCACGAGAGCTGGCCGTCGGGTCACCAGATACACGGAGGGTGTATCTCCGTTTTGCCGAGGTGAGGTCAAGTGAATGACCACACTGGGATCCTGTATGTGTTTCAGAGACACAGCATACATCGATGGTACGAGATTCTAGGGTTCTAGCCAAGGAAGCCTGTTGACCGATTTGACATAGAGTGCGTACGTTGAAGGCTCCAATGTGTAGTTTGGAGCGAGGTTTCAGTAGACCTGGGGCAGTTTTGTGCACTAGAATCGTTGGCTATGGTGACACTTGAGAGGGAAGCCGAAAAAGGAAGTTTAGAGGTGAAAGTCGATGTAGGAGGAATAATAGGAAGTGAAGACGGAGGTTGATTATGGATACAGTGGTCTTGAGTGCTGTTAGAGATGTGAGGGCGGTTATCACCTCACGGTTGCCCACACCGTGGGAGGGTTCTTCTGGAGGTACCTGGAAAGGAAATTGGATTAGAGGTAGGTGGTCTTGGTGACTAGAGAGTGTGACCTCAGTGCCAAAGGGACAACTACTTGAGGTCGGTCACACCCTTTTGTGAGCAATTTTTGTGTTAGCTCCGTACTTGTTGAAACCTTACCGCCGGAGACGGATATCCGTGAGATAAGGCGAGATGTGCATTTTTAGGGTCGACCTTTTCTAACCCCACCCCTCCTTGTGGGAAGGCAGCATCGCTGTCATGCTGGTTGTCTGAAGGAAACACCTTACTGCTGTCACACCTCTGTACAGTCAGCAGTACGACTTCGCCTTCGGACCTTGGGTTTGTTGCTTTTAGACTTACCGCTCTTCAACCGACCTGTCTGACATGGTAGGACCTTGAGGAACGGTTGATCCAGCCAGTATAGCTCGGTTGCGTCATCACGATAGGCAAGCCCGACCACCACGTCAAGGTAGCAACAACGGTTTGTTTGTTTTCAGAATTAATTTCAACTGCCTACTGGCTAACGAACGTTCGTAACCATCATGATATCTGTTCGAAATCCCAGTAAGGAACATGTGATAGTACCAAACTGACAATATCATCACAATATATAGCTATTTTGGTTCGGAATACTTAAAACCTTGGAATCACAGTAAAAGCTGTCGAAAATTAGAGGCTGATTTTGAAGTTAAAACGAGTAGTACACCGTAAGATCAGTAGACATTTATTATGCGATACAGGGAATTATGCAGAAGGTTAGGAATTGTCGTTTAGTAGAGTAAATTGCTCCCGTTCAGTGAATAACAGGTATAGGCGGCACAGCGGGTTGTCCAAACAAAGCATCGGTATCGTTCTCTTTCTGTTCGACTGCAAGCTGTCGAAGTTCGCTAATTGTATGTGAAAACATCGTCCACTCGTCTGCATGAGGGATTGCCATTGTCTAAAGAATAAAAACAAGCAGATATTTCCTTGTGAAGTTATCAACCATATGTAACCGGGACTGTATTCACTTGGGAATATTATTGGGGTTTATTACGAGATACTTCCCGATCCTATTGTTTTTATTAGTATGATGTAGCGCTAGATGGAGTGCCTCAGACAAATATAGAGCAACCAGACAGACATCAACACAGAAGCCTGGCACATCTACGTGTTGGTGTAAGTTGTCATGCTCAACTGCGATGACGAGATGAAAATAACAAAATAGGCAATGTAGTATCAATGATAGAAAGAAAGGCTAAAGCTAGGGAATATGGTTGGGTAAAGTGTGTACGAAGAGATGCTGATTCCAAATCGAGGGGAAGATAAAGAGTGAAGCTACCTGGACCAATGCGAACTATTCGGAGCTATGACACTCGACGTCACAAGCTAGAATCCCTACAGTTGTCGAGTGATAGTTCTAACATTCCAAGTAACATGATATTACCATGTAACTGCGTACGTCATATATGCACAAAATTCATCTATATGATGACAACTTTTACTGACCAAAAAGTCACCATCTTCGAACTCCGACAATTCAGGTACCGGCAGACCATTGATACACACACAATAGTAATTGTAGTTTTGTCGCTATATGACGTTCTTGATATAATTACTGCGTGTAAATTCCCGCTTACAAAACATTTCAGGAACACAGCTACAAATGTTTTGGCGTCGGTAGGTGTATCCATACTATGGAACGTGGTGAGCACATTCATCACGAAACCTAGGAACTTTCATTTCTCAACTATTTATGACCCTGATGATTTAAGACAATAGACTGCTTAAACTAAGTCCCGCTGTTTCGTAAACTGGAGTGATAGCTGACCAAGAATAATATAAAAGAAATACCTAATTAATGATGTCTTAATAATTCCACTTACTTCATTCAAGTCGAACATGTGAATACGTCCATTATCATCACCAATGGCTATATGTGAACCAGATGAGTGGAAACGACATTTGTTTAACGATGGTTGACCGGGAATCACTGTACGAACTGATGGGACCTGTAGAAAAACCAATAAATCTTATTATCTAAGGACAAATTAGTGATTATATGTTTGTTTGTAGACTCCATTCTAACCACTGAGTCGTGAGTTCGCAACCCTCTAATTAATAATCGCTCAACGAGTATAGCTCATAATCTTATCATGCACGAGTATGATGTGTGTTAAGCTTACCATACATATATAGAGATTAAACTGTTGAATTGAATATTTTATTGAATTTCGATGTGGTCTCGTAATCGAGTTAATTATCGGTTGCTCAATCATTGAGGATAAAGAGGCGCCAAACATCAATTCCAATAAGTTGAGTCATTTATTGACAAAACACATGAACAAAGTACTTTGAGATAACAGTATTGCGTGTGATATCAACAGCTAACGTCAAATCGAAACCCTATTTACTTTTGATAGGAGAATTACTACTATCATGTCCTCCATAAGCAATATCAAGCATCACTATCTGATAAAAAAATTAAGCCATGTAAATTCAGATACTCAAAATATCCACTGTTTGTTACATAAACACACAAAACAAGTTTGCTATTGCTTCATCGAATATAAATTTCTAGAGAATGTATTTACCGACATATAAAAGACAAGTTGACTTGACAGTGTTCTCTTAAACGTAAGTAGTATAAGAATACTACGCCTTTCAGTGTACCGAACATGAGTGAAGTACAACTGGAGAAACGATTGTGCAAAATCTTTATGTAGTCTACTTGACTCACAATTAATACTGATAGCTTGTTTGAAAAGTAACCATTTAGCCATCGTACTATAGATAGCGACTTTTATTGAGACATCATTTTTTTATAAATGCAACCCAATATTTCATAAATTCCAAAGGCCGAGTATTTTGTTAAATCCTTTAAAAGGCATTCCACGAACCAATGGAAATAATGTTCTTTGTTATGAAGAAATGTTGATCCGCACTAGCTCAGATTGTCAAATTTTAAAATGGTGTATACTATCTCATTATATGTAAAATATTTCATATCGTATCATAGGCCTCAAAAATTGAATTCACAGTGATCCATATATATAACGATTTTATCTTATTCAGATTCACATATATCATAACAATTAAAAGAAGGGATCATTAATTAATCGTCAACCGTTTTAATAATCCCAAATAAACTTGAATTCCTATATTTATTTTGTACCAATGAAATCAACTCACTGAATTTTAATTCATTCTTTATATTAATACTATAACTGATTATTAATAAGCATTTCCGCCAAACTTTAATTTTATTGCATGTCGATTGCATATTTTATGCCATTTATAGTATTATCAGTAAGCACATTTGTAAGGATGACATTCGAATAACTGCTGAAACGTTCAAATCCCCTCCAAAATAGAATAAGTGCCTCAACTTTTACGAGATGTGACTACATTGTGTAAATATGAAGTATATCGAAATGATGAAAGAGATTTACAGCATAAGCTGGCGTTTTGGTGATGTTGTGTTCAAAGAGATGTGTTGGTGATGGTGTCTAGAACGATAACGAAAGCCTTGCGATTAAACCATCCAGCTGAGAAAAATTAACATCACCAAAAATATGAAGTATAGGCAAACTGATTTCCTAATTATCTATGGATAATGGATAGGTAAACAGATAACCTTGCAACCAATAATATCTTACTCAAAAGGAAGTGTACAATTTTTGAATATATTTATAGTTTTTAACTGTGTACCTCAATGACATTTGAAATTAGGATTAAATCAAGACATGTTTATGATATTCGAAAGTATGTAAAATGATGCGAACCTTAAGGTTGAAGCCAGTAAAAACAATAAACATTAGGCGACATAAATAAAAATTTATTACATCAGTGGAAATATTTTCACGCTTAATGTTATTTCACATTCTTGAAAATCCAGGTTGTTCTGTAGTCATTGTCAGGTATATATATTCACTCGATTTTTTCTTTGATTACTATACTACTATTGGTACAATTATTCACATTGAGTCAAATTCTATCTCATATCTAATTTGTTCTTTACCGTGATTGAATAAATTGTAACAATTCTGATCGATACACTATCTAACTAGATATGTTGTACTATAGTGATAATTTGTATGTGTAAAAATGAAAATAATATAGCAATAAATACACATAATACTCGATAATAATATTTAAAGAGATCAGTATTGTATATCATTATTGTAGTAGATAAAACTATCAAGTATGTCGCAATAATATCAATGGTATATTATTGACGAATTGAATGAGATAACAATCATGAAAGGATTCTTTAAAAAAACTTTCATTAACGCAAGTTAAAAAGTTTTATTCCTGCCGTGAAATTAATGGTTTTATTCTGACGAAATTTCCAACCAAACTATTTATAGTGGATAAAAAGCCTGATTCAGCATAAAACTTTATCAGGAAATATATACTCATTTTAATTCATATGAAAATACACAGGCAAAAGTATAGACGGATTTATTAATTACATTAAAGTAACCAGATGTAGTCTATGTTAGGTAGTTGAAGGTAGACACAGAAGGAGACCCTGGACCTTGATGTTTTACCGACTGCCCGTAATTACCTAACATCTTAATACAGTGTGTGTGTGTGATATAGTCATTTAGACTAGTGTGGGTACATTGCAACATGATTGATAGACCTCGATCAGCATTAAGGACTAAAACACCATGACATCGGTTACAACTCAGTGACCAATCTATTTACATAAAACTTATTTTTAATTTATTTTATTACCTACAGTGTTACCTTCCTTTGATGGTAACATCTACTTTATTCAAATTCCACTGTTTTTAAAAAAGAATATAACTATAAATTGGTGACCAGAATTACAAGTAGTAAATAGATGAATGCAGGATTCCCCCTCAGTGTTCTGATTTTTCGTATCAGATATGTTAAAAAAATCCCCAATAATGCATTTAAAAATTGCTAAATAAAGTCTGTCGTTACCATCCATAGAGAATGCATTAATGCACTGTGTTTTAACTAAAAGTTTAAAAAATCTACACATATCTTTTTTCCCAACCATGTGCACCTGTCAAAGTAACTATGTCAAGAGGACAAAGAAAGAAAAAATACCATTCTTGAAAAACCTAAACACGTTTCTTTGATTTTGTGACGTGTTAGCTGATCAATCACTCTTAATAGTCTAACTGTCTAATGTTTGATCAACACAAAAAATGTAATAGTCCTAATTGACAAACAAAATAACACAAGTTTCCTACAGTATACTGAAGACACTAAACTTATGAAATGATTTATTACTACATAATTAGTTTTGTTGTTGTAACCTGCCTTTAAAATACTCTGCCTTTTATTTGATTACATTATTGTTTAAATTACACTGTTTCTTTCCAATACACTGATTTTGATAAACTTGGTTTGATGAATTTCATCGCTTAGCTACTCAACTACTATCAAAATTCAATAATCCATTATTCTAACACCTACAGGAATAAGCCAACATTACTATTGCTTTTTTTCAAAATATTTAGTATAGATGTATATATATGCCATTGTAATAGTTTGGCACCACTCTTTCATTTAACTCCACATCCTTACAATTTTTACAATATTACACTACTTGTTACTGACAATCGTAATCGATTACTGGACTGACTAATTAATTACTACCTTTCACTATGAATGAAAGTATGTCTAATTATCATCTGTATTGTTGGTAGTGATGATACAATATAGATTGTAAGCAATGGATATTTAAGAAAAATTAAACAAGGTAATATGTTTATTATTATGAAATTGAATCTTAAATTACCATATTTAATAAGAACTAAAAATTAGTCTATTTACAAACAGAAGTGAAAAGGTAGTTTATTGATCCAAATAATCATATTCAAAACCGAAATATTCACAATAAGATAAAAAATTAATCAGTCATCAAGTAATAATAACAATGACTGTATAATCATATAGTCTAGTCTTGTGGTGCGTGCTACTTATATTGACATAAGCAGTATATAACGCGAGTCAGGAATGTAATGTCTGGCAACAGAAGATTGAGAAGATCAAGAAAGGAAGAACGGGAATAGAAAGCAATTAGTATGGAAATGCAAAAACAATGAAGTCCGAGACAATTACTGAACATTTTGCTAATTAGGTATTATAGTATGGTTTTTCTATTTGACCAAGTAACTCTGTAATTTTGTACTGAAAATAATTCGGTTGTCCTCACTTGTGCTCTCCTTCACTACTGTATCAGTAATTACTAAACTACATACATACTTAGGCATTTTACCCCTCATAAAGGAGAATAGGCCGCCCACTAGCATTTTCCAGTCAACTCTGTTCTGGGCAGTCCTTTCCAGTTGCTATTGGTCCTTTCCATGTCTGCTTCCAACTCTCAACGCAATGTGTTCTCTGGCCTTCCACTTTTTTGTCTTCATTCGGGATTCCAAGTTAGCGCTTACCTTGTGACGCAGTTTGATGATTTCTGTAATGTATGTTCTATCAACCTCCAAAGTCTTCCTAATATTTTATCCAGCTGGAAGCTGCTTTCCCCTCTACCACAATAGGCTGCTGCTGATAGTATCCGGCCAACGACGGACACTGAGTATCTTGTGTAGACAATTGTTTGTAAATACTTGTACTTTTATGATGATAGTTGTAGTAGTTCTTCAAGTTTCGGCTCCGTACATTAGAAATATATTGGAGATTCTCACTTTGGTATTGGTTGACAGTTATTTTGAGTTCCGTATGTTCTTCAATTATAGGAATGCTGTCCTTAATTTGCCAATCCTCGTCTGTACGGCTGCATCAGATCCTCCATGTTCATCGATGATTCTGCCCAGGTACGTGAACGTTTCCACCTGTTCCAGAGTTTCCCCATCAAGTGTGATTGGGTTGATGTTCTCCGTGTTGTATTTGACGATCTTGCTTTTTCCATTGTGTTTATTGAGGCCTACTTATGCAGGGGCTGCTGTTACTCTGGTCGTCTTCACCAGCGTTTCTTGATGTGTATGGGATAGAAGGGCCAGGTCGTTTGCGAAGTACAAATCGTCTAGTTGCATCCAACCTATCCATTCTATTCTGTGCTTCCTGTCAGATGTCGAGGTAATCACAATTCAGTCAAACAATAGAACAAAGAGAAAGTGGGAGAGTAGGTAGGCTTTTATGACACTGGTCCTCAATCGGATGTATTTGTCAGCTGGTAACATCTCTGATTGTGAAGCTGGGTGACACGGGATCGAATTCGTCAGGGAGCATCAGTTCCCTCAAGCTTACAGATACACCTTACCGACGAGCGCCAAGTAGCACGAAACCCGGGTCCGGGGTTTCCTGTCAACTACCATCTAGAGATACAACATAATTTGAATGTTGTTTTGGCCACAAAAGGTGCTCAATTTCCATCTAACAGGAAGAACGTAACTATCTTGTTTAATGGTTAACCGGTCAAGCTGAAAATTGATACAGAGTTTGACATAACATTAATTTCTAGAGAGCCTTGGACAACACTTGGTCGACCTCAATATCAACCTACACATTATAATGCTAAGAGTGTGACAGGAACTAACGTTACTCGTCTTGGAAAATTGCAGCTACCTCTCACATTAGGTGACAAGACTATGACCGGAAAATTTTATGTATCTGGGATCTGTCATACCAACTTATTGATTGGATAAATAAATTTGGTTTATGGGAACGTCGTTGAGCACTGTCTGCAATATGATTAAATCACCAGCCAAAATAATATTTGGCTGACCACTTAGGACATTTTTTGATGTTTTGTACCCGAAAGACAGAATGAGTGGACTACAAAAAAATAGGAACGAGAATTGCCCCAAGATTCGAGAATTCAAAGCAGCTGACTTAGTCTATGCACGTAATTTCCGGCCTGGTAAGCCAAAATGGATATTCGGATGTGAACCTTAATTAAGACAATGGAATCTCCATTTAGAAAATTTACATTAACGTAATCATGAATTGAGAAAATGTTTTCAGTCACACACAATTGAATCATTCTTGTTCATTAAACTGTTGCATAAACAGAGGAACAATCGGAAATTAATACTTCATTTACAAAAATGGAATGAATTTATTCAAAATCCGATTCATTGGGTATATATTTTTTCCAGGAAATCCCAAATATGTATGAGTGGGTAAAAGCAATTTTTAAATTCATTCATTAATACTACTTCATGGCTGAAAAGAACGAATGGCTTAATAAATCGGAACAAAAATACGTATTGATTACCTTAATTAACTATTTATTTAGTTCTTGAAAAGATGTTATTGGGACAGAATTAGTTTGTTCAGGGTAAGTAATAATACTTTTAAGAATACTTCAAGAAATGAAAATATCTAGAAAACAACATCAAAAACTTACTTCGCTGTTTTGGTTTAAATTCCATAAATCAAGGCCTCCTGTACAATCGACAGTTGCAAATACAGCTGGATGCATAGGCGACCAATGAGCATCAAAAACATAATCTGAAGCTTCTTCAAATGAACATATAAGACGGGTTTCCTTGACAGACCACAGTTTTATGGACCAATCAAGAGAAGTAGTAAGAAACAGTGGTGAAATTGTCACAGAATCTCTGAGTGGATGAGATGAAATTGATGTGATAGGAGCCTGATGACCTTCAAAGGCATCGCTGATACCTGCTTGACTAAAAAACACAAGGTATCGACAACGCAGATTAACAAGATGTAAAATATATAATCCATACTGTACATATGATCGCAACTCCTAATCACTAAATAAAATACCCCTAAATGCACTAGAAGGCCGAGGGTGGGGAGAGTCAGCTCTCCCTTTCGAAATGCTCTCACAAGGCCACGTACATACAACCACTGCCGTGGAAGTGCTACTCACTGCCTTCTCGTGGCAGGGTTGTTGTTTACGAAATTGAGAAGACGAAAAGCGAATGTCCGGCGCTTTAACTGGATTGGTGGAAAGGGAGGATTCACCTAAGGGAGTTGGGAAACCCTGATTCCGGAAAATCACTGCATAATAAAACGTCTTGTTATATATTCCAATAGAAAAAAACTAGTCATGTTAGATGGATGAAAAGTATTGGGTAAAATATAGAGGATAACTATCGATAAGACTATAATTTATGGACGACATTTGAGTGACGCTAAAGAGACCTTAAGAGTGTCTACCTAACAGCTAGGACTACATGGGGGTTAAAAGCTAGTGTGAGGAATTAGAATGAATTACGGTTGGTGGTTAGGGTTAGGGATTAGATTTACGGTTTTCATCATGAACTGACATCAGTTTAAATGCCGAAACGTTACTTATCCGAATGGATGAATGAATGTTGCGCCAAAATTCAAGACCTGTTACCCTAAATCTGATTGGCTAGTTCATTAATTATAGTTTCGCCTCCAAACTTTCTAAAACACAATGTTCAATCTACCAACTAATACAAAAAAGGATGAAGTAAAGTAATTGTTTTGTATAAATCATTGTAGACAACTTCATTATATCTAAATTAGAAATCTACACTAAACGTTAATCCACAACAAAATCAAGTAAACTTAAAATCTTTGATTATTCTTTCCATCTGAAAATTAGAGATTGACTAACAAGTTGCAAATATTATCACTTTCATGTTTTGTACTTTTTTTAAATCCTTCTACTTCCCTACTACCACACATATACAGCCAGTATTAATACCTGTCAACAGACTGAAAATATTCTTCTTTTTGCTGTGATGTATATTTGCTTTATTAGGTTTTAAGGCTAAACACATATCTGCTTAAAATGCACTTATAAATATTTTTTATCCAGCAATTTCATTCAGATTATTTTGATATATATATTGATATTTAGAGGTGTGAATAATCTTAGGTCAAAAAGAGACAACAATTCATGAAGTCATTAGCTTCTTGGAAGAGTCATACATAGGCCTTTTGTATGAGGCTCTATGGAAAGTAAAAATTAATGGTTGGAGATGTTAGACGACATAACATGAAGTCTACTAAAATGGCACGGGCGAGTTCATTGTTTACCTTTGTCCAATTCTGGATCATTCGTTTGCTGATCAATTAATCAAACATCATTAATCATATTCTTTTTCATTTTATTATTAGTCTGTCTTTATTGATTTTTTCTTTATACGTTATTAAGAAGAAAAGGAATTTAAACAGATGAACTTGATGAAAAATTCAACGTCATTATTTTCATTTTCCACTTGATGAAGCAAGTACCTTCTATATCAACAGGATTAACTGATTATTTTGTTTCATTTTGTTAAAATTTTAATTGTTAGAAATGTACTTTTTGGATAAAAGGTTATGTAATAAACTATGATAACGAATTAACTAACTACAAGGAGATAAATGGTATACACCAGATTCAAATTTAGTCCAGCATATTAAATGCCTGAGTTGGTCAAATAAAAGTTTAAATCTGTAGTGAAATATATTTTGTAAGTTCTCAATGATAGGAAAAAAGTAAGGACATAATATAGCAACCATGAATTTTAGTTACGAGTGAAAGCTACGTGTAAGTTTCAATTTTAATCCGTATTTCTTTTTTAAATAATCCATACAAATTGTTAAAAAAAAGCTTTAAATTACTTTCCATGCGGCGAACCAGCATAAGCTCGTCCATCTTCTGACCCAACCAAAAAATTGTTAACATTCTCATCTACGAATGACATGCATGTTGCAGCTACAGTACGAGCTTGCCTATGTGTTAATTCCATGGCTTGTTGAGGTTGACCCAGCATATCTAAACTCCATGTACATAATTTTCCATCAGAACTTATACTTAACAAATTGTGTGCATTCAATGATCCTGCAATCATAACTGCATGAACTGGATGTGTATGTGCACTTGCTGATAATGGTGTCCGTTGTACCGGTGTTCGCTTGGTTGATCTAAAATATAAAATAAGAGAAATGAAATCCGAGTAAAATATCACACTTGATAACAAAAACTGATAATGATAATAAAGTAATGATGAGATTCTCTCCACTTTATAAGACCTCAAATAATCTGGATTTAAAAGGCAAAACATAAACTGATTTATAATATTCATAGGATAACATAGCTGTACACCAACTGTGAGTAAATTTATAGTGCGGAGATTAAACTCTACACAAGCTATAAAGTATTTATACAGTGGTAATAACAACTTGAACTACAGAATAGGTTCATTTACACGACGAAATACTCTATTGCTCTTAATGTCTACTCAATACTAAATATGAAAATTTACTTCCAACCAAGTCCCAATAGATGTAAAATTGAAATGAATTATTTGTATATGAGTCAAATTATCATAAAAATAGATAACCAGATATATGGAGTAAACGTATGAAAAGGTCGGTTCTTTTTTGTTTTATGCGTAAAGTTAAAAAATATCCGAGACAGTAGTGTTGTAGAACGATAACATTTATCAAATAAATGTATATCATACAAGAACACATGAGGTTAAATATTAATAGCATATAATCGTGAAACTGAATACGGGTAGAAGTGACTGGAAAAACATGGATTGGATACTATTAGCTACAGCGGTCAAAGTGAAACATTGTACACCACATGCAACTGGATTCAAACTCACATCATCCGTCAAAAACTAGTAGCTTAACACGGACTTATACATTATATTTCAGGGTTCAATCAAAATAAAAAAATAATGGAAATGGGAAACTATGCATTTTAGTTGACCTAATCTAGTGAAGTATGTTTAATCCTACTACCAACTGAATCGCCTAAACCAAACACCGACGACACATGGTGCCGTGCTAGTTTGGGACTTGAATAAGTCAATTATCTAACCAATGGGTAGAATCATTCGTTTGAAAAGCAGGGGTTTCTTTATCAAGCCTCCAACCATTGGTTACGATAGTCATGCGGACCCCAACCAAGTAGTCTGTATCTACCAACATGGCTAAGACTAGAAGTTAGTGACTTCGAGGATTGCTACCACGTTTTGGTTTGGCTGCCCCTAACTTTCTTCCAACCGTCTTCAACACTTGTCAGCATTGCAACTTAGAACAGACATTATCAGTGTGCTATCTGACAAATTTTATCTGTACATGATTGGGTTTAAATAAGTCGCATTGCAAGCACCTACACAAAATGAGGATATATATGAAACCGTTAGCTCTTTCAAAGTGACTAGACTATCTACAAGTGTATGGAAAAAATGATTGCTCCATAATCCAAGAATGAAGCTATTCTTGTGTTATGTTTCGTTATTGCTTGAATGCGATTACTGATGCGTCTTACTCGAACGAACGAAGGATCAATGATTCAGCGACTCGATAGACTATTCTGGTCCGTTGTCCCCAACTCTGCTAACTCGGTCAAGAAGTCTGGGTAAGGTGTAGAAAGTGTATTCTACAGACAAACAGCAGATAACAAGTCAGGCAGGCAGATCAGATCAAGCATACAAATCAAGCGTATTTATACAAATATTGACAATCGATATTGTCATGGAAGATTTTTGAACATTAATCAACGAGTTCATTAATTGACCTATTTGCGCATTTAATCGATAGTTCATCAATTGACCTATTTGCGCATTTAATCGATAATTCATCAATTGACCCCAATAAAAATATCTAACATTTAATCGATAAGATGATTGATAAGATAAAATTTAAAATATGAGTTTGGGGATCTATCGTCCCCAACACTCCTCCCCTTTTTAATAGCGGGCTTTCCTGGGATCAACCTGCATCCTGACTGTTGCTCGCCGTTCTCGGATAGGCCACCGTCTTGGACGTGTTTCAGTTTGTTGTTGAGGTTTTTCTTGTGGTGGTGTTGCCGGTAAGTTGAATGTGTCTAGCAGAATGTCAAGAGGAATATTTGATTCTGTTGATGGGCGGTCTGGGGCTAACCGTTTGCGTAACTGATTCCGATGGCGTTGCCACCTGTCACTACCTACCTCAACTTCGTACATGACTCGGCCAACTCTTCTGACCACTCGCGCTTCTGTCCATGGATTATGGGTCGGTCTGTAATCACGGGCAAACACCGGACATCCCACTTCGTACGTGGATTGCTTTTCAAACTTTGTCCGTACTGGTGTCGGTGCATTACTTGGATGCATCAGGCTGTGGATTGTCTTCAGTCTTCTTCCCATTAGGATCTCTGTTGGGGACTTTCGCTCCGGCAACGTTTCATTTGGTGTTGTTCGATACACGTATAAGAAATTTTGCAGCGCGTCTGCTGGCGTCCCCTCCCCTTTTGTTTTAGCCAAGGCTCTTTTAAACGTATCCACAAACCTTTCTGCTTGCCCATTCGACTGCGGGTGGTATGGTGGCGAGCGTAAGTGTTTTATGGCTAGTCATTGACAGAATGACTGGAATTGGCTTGATGTGAACTGTGAACCGTTGTCAGATACAATAGCATCTGGTATACCTTTTCGGGAGAAAATTTCTGTGAGGATCTGTATTGTTTTAGTTGTCGTTGGCGGTATGATAGGGTTGATTTCAGGCCATTTCGAAAGGGCGTCGACTACAACTAGATACATGGTTCCGTTAATCGGGCCTGCAAAGTCGACGTGTATTCTGGACCAAGGATGATCAGATTGTGGCCATGAAACTGGTGGAACTTTGGCGTTCATTTTTGCCGCTTGCTGACACCGCATACATTTCCCAACCAATTCTGTTATATGTTGATCCATTAGCGGCCAATACGCATGACTCCTGGCTATGGATTTCATTCGTCTAACCCCCGGATGACCAAGGTGGAACTGTTTCAGCACTTTTGCACGAAGGGATTCTGGCACAACCACTCTCTCTCCGAACATCAAGCAGTCGTTCACAATGCATAGAGAATCCCGCCGCTGATACAGCTGTTTTATATCACCATCAAACTTCTTAGTCGGCCAACCGTTGGTGACATAGTTCATAGTTCTCTTGATGATGGGGTCGCTCTTAGAAGCATTTTGTATGTCCGTTGCAGATACCGGCAAAGTTCGTATTGCGGTCGTCAGATAACATTCGGCGTGGTCTTCCGCTAGCAGAGATGCAATTACCGTGTTTTCCTCAGCCGCCAACTGGTCACTAATGAGTCGTGATAAGGCATCCGCCTGACCGAATTGTTGAGTGCGTCGGTACTGGATCTCGAAATCATACCCCAAGAGTGCTAAACCCCATCTCTGAAGGCGATTTGCTGAATGAGCTGGAATGCCAGATTTCGACCCGAATATTGCGAGTAAAGGCTTGTGATCTGTGAGAAGCGTGAATCTCCGACCGTACAGGAACTTGTGGAAACGGCGCACAGCAAACACAAGTGCAAGCGCTTCTTTTTCTATCTGGCTGTATTTTTTTTCTGCTGGGGTTAGTGTACGGGCTGCATGCATAATGGCTTTTTCCGACGCATCCGGAAACTGATGGGAGATAACAGCGCCTAGGTCATTCGCTGAAGCGTCTGCAGCTACGATGATCGGCATGGCTGGATCGTAGTGTGTCAACAGCAATTCAGAACTAATAATGGACTTCAGTTTACAAAAGGCAGTGTCACACTGTTTCGTCCAGTTCCAAGAGCTGTTCTTCTGCAGTAAGCTATTGAGTGGAGCGCGAATATCATGCATCGATGGAACGAACGCTGAGTAATAGCTGACAAGTCCCAGGAAGGAACGTAGTGCCGAGACATTAGTGGGAGTTGGCATCAGTTTGATAGCTCGGATATTCTCAGGATCCGGCCTGCGGCCGTCGGCATCGAAAATGAACCCCAAGTACTTTACCGACTGCAAATGAAACTGGCATTTCTCTGGGCGTAACCGGAACCCGTTGTCACTGATGCGTTGCAGTACCAATGTCGTGCGTTCTCGTAGTTGTTCTAATGTCGTTGCTACAATTAAAATGTCATCCAAATAAGCCGCGACTCCCGAGATACCTGATAGGATGGTATCCATTAATTGTTGGAAAATAGATGGTGCAGTTTTGACTCCGAAAGGTAGACGGTTATACTGGAACAAACCACGATGAGTATTGATAGTTAACAGCTCTCTTGATGCTTCGTCTACTTCCACTTGCAAATAAGCATCAGCTAGATCCAGCTTAGCGAAAAATCTTCCCCCATTCAGCATGGTAAATAGGTCTGCGGGAACAGGCAAGGGATAATGATGTTGTTCCAGAGCTGCATTGAGACCTGTTGAAAAGTCAGCACATATACGTATCGTGCCGTTGGCCTTCTTAATAACCACTATAGGTGCTGCCCATGCAGAGTAGGAAACGGGAGTGATAACTCCTTGTTGTTGAAGGCGGTTCAATTCTTCATCTAATGTTTGTAATGTTGCATAAGGGACAGGTCTCTTTGGGCGAAAAACAGGCTTAGCCCCAGTTTTCAATCGAAGTGTTGCTTTCATGACAGAGCAGCGACCCAATCCAGGTTGGAAAATGGTTGAAAACTCCGTCATTAGTTCTTTCGAATATGCTTCAGGTTCATGAGGTTGTTTCACCAGATGGCATACGGTGCTTAAAGGAACGTCAGCTAAATGTAGCTGGTCAAACCAGTCTAACCCAAGTAGATTAAGATCAGCTGGTGTGATGTAACATACACCGGTAAACGTCGAATCGTGAAAAGACACTTTACAATCTAGTTGTCCCAACAAACGTAGGTAATTACCGCATGCAGTTCGAGGTTTTTGTGTTGTTGGAACCATGCGTGGTCTTCCCATTCTGATCCAATATTTTCGTGAGAGAATTGTTACATCAGATGCAGTGTCTATTTGCAATCTAAATGGGTGCCCATTAATGTTAACAGTAATAAATTTTCTCTGACTTGGTGATGAGCTTTGACACGAAGATACTAAGCTCAATGAACTGGTGCGGGATCTAGGACAGGTCTTGTTGGTATTTCTTGATTGACTTGGAGTCTTCTTCCTCAGACAAAACCCATCCTTATGACCGATAACCTTACACTTCTTGCATCGATGTTGTTTAAATGGGCAGTTTCGAACGTAGTGCCATGCACCACATTGCCAGCAAGGAGCAGGAGGAGTTGCTTTAGTCTGTCGTCTAGAGCTGGAGTGAGATGGACTGGATGAAGCGGGGACGTGTTTGTTTTTGTGAGGTGTCTGTTGCACCGCTCGTACTTCAAATCGGCTAGAACCACCACTCTGGACCATAGAAGTGTCTCGTTGAAGATTAATGAGACGTTGATATTCATTAGCTATATCACTCAGGGTGAGTTTCGGTTCTTGATCCAAACGACTTAGTAGCCTTGTTCGTAAGTCACTGAACTTTTGGTGCTGTAGGCTGCAAATAAGGATCAGGGCTTTAAACTGATCTTCAGTCAAGGACTTTAACCGGAAGCGTTCGCATTCACGGTTGACGACGCCCACATGCGTAAGAAAATCATCATCTTCGTTCATAGTTAGCTTCAAGCAACGATAACGAGTATTAAACAGTGACGAGTTATCGCCAAAATGTTGGATTAATGTTTGAACTGTGTCTGCAAATGATCGGTCACGTGGGTTCAACGGCAAGATCAGATTGCAATACTTGTCCAGCTCATTTGCACCCAGTTTACGAAGTAGCAGCCGCACTTTCCAAGCATCATCTTGATTGGCGAAATCAAATTTAAATAGATCTTCATAACGCCTGAACCACATTTCAAAAGTAACATTAGAATCAGGATCGTAATGAAATTCAGCTATGCTATTTGCGATGCCATCTATTGATGGTGCCGTGGTTGAACTAGACGTGCTTGGCTGTAAGGGAGGCGTAACCTTGGTCTCCATTAACATTTGCATCAATTTTAGCTGCTGCTCAAGTAACAGTTCAAGTTTGGCAGGGTCCATAATCGAAAAACCACCGTCGCCAATTTGTTATGTTTCGTTATTGCTTGAATGCGATTACTGATGCGTCTTACTCGAACGAACGAAGGATCAATGATTCAGCGACTCGATAGACTATTCTGGTCCGTTGTCCCCAACTCTGCTAACTCGGTCAAGAAGTCTGGGTAAGGTGTAGAAAGTGTATTCTACAGACAAACAGCAGATAACAAGTCAGGCAGGCAGATCAGATCAAGCATACAAATCAAGCGTATTTATACAAATATTGACAATCGATATTGTCATAGAAGATTTTTGAACATTAATCAACGAGTTCATTAATTGACCTATTTGCGCATTTAATCGATAGTTCATCAATTGACCTATTTGCGCATTTAATCGATAATTCATCAATTGACCCCAATAAAAATATCTAACATTTAATCGATAAGATGATTGATAAGATAAAATTTAAAATATGAGTTTGGGGATCTATCGTCCCCAACATCTTGTGTTTGTGTTCAAAAAGGACCTATACAGCGTGTGGTGATTTAATAACATCCGTCAGTTTGCGCAAAATATTTGCAACCATACATAAACGGTTAATGAGTAGCTGACTACTATAAAAGAGCCAGGAAATATAAAGTATGACTTGACAATGCTAGCAAACAAAAAATCCATTAGGACGTAACAAGAAACAAACAAAATACCGTACAGATACCTATTATCCCACAATACAATTTGTCCAGAATATGTCCCACCAATAATCAAATTTGGATGATAAGTTGCAAAGGTTGCTGAAGTAACAGCAGACTGACAATGAAAAATATACTCTGGAGTTGTTTTCTGAAATTTCAAGTTCCACACTAAACATACTCCATCAGGATCATGTGGAGCTTCATCATTTGCATGATAAGCACCAAGAAGTAACTCAGGAAAAATTGGTGACCAATCCAATGCTGTGACTAGGCGTCTTCTTGACCACCGATCATCAAAAAAGTCACGACCAAATCTTACAAGTTGATGACGTTGGGTATTTCTATAAGAAATTCAAAATTGGAAATAATTACTTATTATCAAATGAAACAGAAGACGAATGAAACCATATGGCAATGGATACCTTGAAACGTAAGCAAAACTTATTCTGTGAAAACGAACAATACTAGTCGGTTGTCCAAAACTTCGAACCCAGAGTGGATTTTAAACACATGACGCGATGACTTAAAGTCAAATCCTTAGACCATTAAACCGTAATTAATGACAATAGTAATAGAACAGCTTTCAGTTACTACAAAGTCTACTCAGCTAAGCTAACAACGATTTCAGTAAAAATAGTTCACATGTAGATTAAACTCAAAGCCAAAACTATACAGCTGCAGTGCTGTTTTCAAATGTTTAGGAAACCATTACCAGATATCAACAGTAGCAACTCATTAACTTCATCACTTAACACCATATACTAACGATAGGATGAATTCAAAAAAACAAAGAATTTATGATAATACAACGAAATGAAGTGTGATTAGATTTGATTATCAATATTTAGTATCTTGTAGGTTCGAATTTAAAAATCTAACCTTCTACTACCTAGATTCTTACCGGCATGGTGTTGTTGTTGTGCATACTGCAGTTAATGCGTATACAGCTCATAACCTAATGCAGGAACCTGGACATAAGGGGAGAGAGTTAAATTACACCTTATTTCCATTATCCTGATTAATAATGAAACACTTTATGAAATAGTTTAGTGTTCTGATTTAACTAATATTTTATTATAAACCTATTTCAAGAAAAAATGATCTGGAAGATATAATACTGGCACCAATCGTCCCTACTGGCTCATACTTACCATCACTATTATTATCTATTTCGCTCTGATGATTCAATTGTCCGAAAGCGGGAAAACGATGTTTTAAGGCATCGATTATTAAAACGAAAGAACCTTTTTAATTTTATAATAGTTAACAAATTTGATACCAAAAATAAATCTAAAGGCGTAGGATAAAAACCTTTATGTGATACTTTCTAAGGGAAAATATCTTGAAAATTTCGGTAGGTGAATCTAAATTTAAATCTTTCACCCAATAGTTGAAAGGTGGGTATCTAAGACGTATTCACGGCTGAAATTCGTACAGATTTTAATGAAACTTAGTAACGTCCAACAAATTTATGTACTACATGTTAATCTACATTTATTGAGTAAGTCACAGATTTTACAATCAGGCCTCAGTAGAAAATAGAACGAGATTTCAATTCTCGAAACCCTATGAGAATCGAGATTGGAGAGATGAGGTAATTTTGAACTATAGGAGACTGGGAGTTCCTAACAATATGTAATAGGTTTTATGAAAACTGGACAGATCAAACGACTAATACATAACACTTCTGCTATAACTGTGATGCTGTAGATCAGAGAACAGCGAATTATCGATCGGACCAAAGACGCGCAAACACGTAAGAATGGGATATTTTCCTGAACATCCCAACAACTTCAATGATAATCTCCCGCGCGACTGGAACAGAGAGAAGTCTCATAAAGTATGTGTATTGGTCAAGATCCCTGAAGAATTTACTTAAATTTGAGTTAATGTAATTATATGCCGATTAAATTCAACGATTGTTAAACACAAAATTTATCAGATTCACTAATCGTTACTCGTGTACGAAATCACAGTGAATTTATGGATAAAATGAGGATGCTTTAAAAAAATCAAACAATTAGTTTCAGATTGAAAAAAATCAATACAAATGAAAATTGAATGAAAGCCAGACAGAAAGAATTATTTTAAATCAATCCGTGAATTTTAAAATTGATTTCTATCTAATATGGTGTATTTGAAGATCCAGTATTCCCAACAAACCCTGCATCCAAAGCGTTTACAAATATTAAAGAACATTCACATACGAATGACAACAGTTAACAAACCAAATAAACACTCAGCATAAAATTCCTTTGCTTACAAACTTGTTTAATTATATCTAAGATGTTTCAAGAAAGGAAATAATAAAATATCATATCCAAGCTAATCACCAAACAATTCCAAACACACAGAAATCCAATATACAACGGAAAACCACATAAGGACTCTTATCTTCATCCCGACACTAAACACTAATTTTATAGTACTGTCCACAGAATCTGTATATAATCAAGATATACCCGTAAATATAAATACTTTATTATTAGAAGGGGTTTTGTGGAGATTTTTAGAAATTTCAATAGTTGAAATCATGAGTCAATTGAAGCTAGACCACCATTGAAAACCTGGAAGCACTGGACGGCCGTTTCGTCCTAGTGTGGGACTCCTCAGCAGTGCGCATCCACGATCCCCTACCCCGCGAGATTCAAACCCAGGACCTATCAGTTTCGCGCGCGAGCGCTTCAACTGACTCATGATTTCAACTATTGAAGTTTCTAAAAATCTCCACAAAACCACTTCTAATAATAATCATCTGCTCACTAGTGTCTGACTTCAAGAGGCATTTCCTGGAGTTCTAGTGAGAAGCTGTTACCAGTGGAGTTCAACCATGTCTGTTGTAAGATATCAACTCACTGAAGACAATTGTGTACGGTGGCAAAGCTTCGTGGATTGGTTGAAGTTAGACATTAACACCGTTGGATGCCGACCAGCTCAGTGGTCTAATGGTTAAGAGCTCACGCGCGAGACTGATAGGTCCTGAGTTCGAATCTCGTGGGGTGCGGGATCGTAGATGCGCACAGCTGAGAAGTCCCACAATAGGACGAAACGGCCGTTCAGTGCTTCCAGGTTTTCCATGATGGTCTAGGTTTAATTGACTCATGATTTCAACTATTGAAATAAATATTTCATGGCAGATAAATAATATATTGCTTGACAAAAACTTAGTCAATTACCACACTTTTTACACCTACAGTTTGAATCATCATGAGCAGGAAGATTTACGAACGATTGGTGCATAAAAATCACCTTGTTATGTGAAATTCCATGACAAGATAAAAAATAGCAGTGATATACAATTAACAAATAACAAACTGAAAATAATTATATAAATAATTTGTCTTAACTACTCTTAGAATACATACACAAATATTACATATACTTTCATTTTGATACTGATTGTGGCCCGGATTACTAACTTACCCTAGTATTTAGTAAAAAACTTTGCATAGAAAAGTGAAATATTTAATCATATATGTCAGTTATTTGCTGATTTGATTATTACATAAAGATACAATCTGGGGTTAGTCATTCAACATCAAAAAAATCATTGAAGACATTTTAAATAAACGAGAACACTTAGAAAAGCCAAGAAACTTAACTATCATTCATTTGTTCTCTTAATATAAATACACTCACAACTAACTGTTGCACATGAAACATAAATGATAAAAATACCAAATAACTAGTTAAAACCTGTTAAATTGCAGGTGATAAGCGTAAAAGATCAATACCTTTGAATGTTAAAGGAAAAATGAAACTACACATACCCGGTATCATCATGATCTCCACCACTATAATCAATAAATATATCTGCAGGTTCATCTAATGCTCGTTCTATCAGTCGTGATGCCCTGTCAAAGAAACGATGAAATCTATCTGATCTCATAATTGCATCTCTTTCCTCGTCTGTGAGTTGTATTACTGTACAAACCAAGAATGGAATACAATAGAATGAGGATAATTTTACAGATACATTTAAGGAGCAAAAATAGCAAGAAATCTAGTCATATACAAAAACTATGAGTTTTCCTAAATATTTAGAAAAACTACCAAATTCACATAACCAGCTTCATTATTGATAGTGCAACCTGATAAACAGTACTAACAACTGAAAAGTTACTGGGTAGTCAAACAGTAACCAACAGTTTAACACCACAGAAATAGCTACGACCTGTATATGAGGAACTACATTATTACTAGAATAATTTTTCCATTTGAATCTCTTTAAACCGAAGTATAGGTTATGCGAAATTTCTTTTCTTAATTTCGATCAAAAGCAGTTGGAGATGGCCACACATTCGCTAGCGAACTTTACTAGATGCACTCCTAATGTGTTATATTTGTAGGCAAAAATAATGATCAGCACAATTTTGTACAGTTCGAATAAAATGTGAGGGTAAATCCCATGGCATCCTATTATTTGCGCAATATGAATTATTTTAATTACTTTTGGTCAACTTCATGAAACCAACAAAGTAAAAGCTCTGCAAAAATTATTCATTCTTTTTGATTGAAAGAAAATGAGTGTACTTTAGTTAGGTTTTGTTCAAATATAAAAGTGAAGAAATATAACCTAATCGCAGTTATCATTAGTCTCAACAACATATTAAAATAAATACCATGAGAGAATAGATGGATAAATGGGAGAAAAAAATCCATATAATCAAAAAATAACATGCTAGTGAAAGATTTAGACGAAGAATGAATAAGCCTGAAAAGGTACAGAATTGGTGGACAAATGGAAAAATTAGTCTAAGAATTGTTTGCTAACCACCGTTTACAAGTCCAACTGATGTTACTGATCTGAGTGATTTTATATATTAAGATTCCACAGCAAATATTCCCCAAACAAATATTTACTATAGTTGTTTTTGAGGGATTTCAGTCTTTCTTTCACATGAAACTATCAATGAAAACGATCAGACTTAAGATATTATTAATCCCAACATATCTTGGACAGTATCAAAGATAAATCTGAATCACTACCACCTAAGATACCAAATATAGGTTACGAAGATTTACCAATCTGATTCGACTAAGTTCGGTCACAAGCTTTATGATTTTTGTCAAATTTTCATTCAGTTTCCTGTATTCAAGCCAACAAGTTAATGAAACTCAAGTATATGGATTGGAAGCATTCCCGATCTGAAATATAGTAAATATTTACATCTGATACGTTTAGTAATTTAATTGGTCTGAAAACTTTAACATGAAAGTTTCTTTTGAAAACATATTGTTGTAACCCTGAAAAGGCCTTTAATTTCTATTTGTTTGCAGCACTAAGAAACTCGGCTCTTTACAATATCGTTTTATTTTAATTTTTGTAGTATGATTAGTCTCTGAGTAACCTAGGAGTTATACTACGAATAAGTACTTATCTGGCAATGATTTTCAGAAAATATTCAACTCTTCAAAAGAGTTTATGCTCTAATTGATAAAACAACGTCTGATAACTAAAGCAGTTGAATTAACCAGTATTTAGAAATTTATCAGTGAGTTATGATAAACACAAAACATGTTCTTAAACTTGTCTCACCACTTTGTAAAGGGATTCCTTCATGCAGTAAAAATTCATACATTGGAATGTTGTTAAGCTGACCTTGACAAAACAATTGATTTCATGAAAGTAGGAACACAAAACTCGGATTCTCTTAGATACCTGTATATTTACGTGTAACCATTTTTTATAGATTTAACAATTGCTGCATCTTTTACAAGTAACATTAAAAATGCAGCAACAATCATGTAGTTTAGCCGTGAAACTCATGTATAAAGCATATTACTGGTTTTAAGAAATTTAAATTAGGTTTTCTAAGGATTAAAGGGAAGCCGGTTAGTCAGTAAGTTACAACGTAGGGCCAGGCACATATATGCATCGGTCCAAGTTGCCATACCGCATCAGCACAAAAATTAAGGGAAAGAACCCTATCCTAACAATGAAATATATTAAGGCTCGCCTTATCAAATAAACGAGTAGATTTAGCAATTCATATCCAAACCACCATACGAAAAGAAGTTATATAACATGAATCTGAATATTTTACGCGGTCTCCTAATCAAGTACAGTCACGATATCCAATACTGGTAATGTAACTACTCTGGATTAGTAATAAAATGTACCTTGTCAAAGAAACCCTATTTTGTTGAACTTTGGATCCATATATTGCTAAAAATAAAATAAATTCAGAACTCCTTGCACTGCCCTTATCTATAAATCATCAACACACTGGTTTCAGAATATTATTCAGTTAGTCACTTAGTATACAATCTATACTCCATCTTCTTGAAAGTAACAGACATAATTACTCTACACTATCCCATTTTGTCATAACTTGTTACGTTGGCTTTTTCCTAGTTCATTAACCAAGTTACTGTATTTCTATATTTCTTATAGTTTGCAACAACTAACGTATTCTATACTGAGCGTGAGTTGTACCTGGAACTTTTAGTAAGCCACAAATGGATATGTTTTAACTAACTTTGAATAGAAAATTTCGTACTGAGCTTTTTACTGTTAGAAATTAGGTGATAGAAATAGGTACTTACTTTTCGTCAATAGACATAAAAACCAATCGGCGAGACTCTAATTTATTGACGAACCTTGAACGAATCTCAAGTGACCTTGGCAATTATTAGCCAATCAGAAGGCAGTTGGTATAAAGTAAAAATATATTATAAGGAACTAATGAATTACAGTGGATATTCTTCTACGTGATTTAAAAACTTGTTAAGGTTTAATAACGGTTCAGATGTTCTGAAATCATAATGCATACGATATAGGAATTCGTCCATATAGCTCCATAATAGTCGTCCTCTGGCGCCGTGGTACGGTCTTAAAAATTCCTTCAATCTCGACCACATGGCTTCAATGTTGTTAGTATGAACGCCGGTAGTAGGGTCGACAAAATGGCGTTTATGCACTACGACATGACGGACATACCCAAGTCTATGAAGGCACCCATACGCTCTCCAATCATCTGTATATACCGTAGTGCCCGGCTGTACTTATTCCTTTAAAATTGGTATTATTGTGCTTGCTTGACGGTTTCTCACCCTCTGGAAATGCCCCTTTTGCGTTGAGCGATCATAAGTTCCAAGTACTTGTCAAGTACATTTACGGGAGTGCTACTTACCCAATCTTCCTTGATACTACGTCCCCTGTTGTATTTTCGCTTTCGCGCTACTGTTTCATCTATTTCCACAATACTTCCGACTCCTCAGAATGATTCATGTAGACGTGTCATTTTAAGTGCACATATATCGCGACAGTACTCATACCACTGGACGGATGAAGTTTCAGTAACATCTGCAAACGCCGCAGCCAGTATTACTGGTGCCTTTATAATCCAATTTGCAACTATTATCATGATTTGCCTCAGTCTCATTCGCGATCGAGAGAAGAAAGTCCCCGTTCGAGCAGACTTTTTTCTCCAACATAAAGAACAACGAAATACAATCTCACCACAATAGTCCGCACACTGTACTGTACCCTACTACCAGCGTTCATACTAACAACATTGAAGCCATGTGGTCGAGATTGAAGGAATTTTTAAGACCGTACCACGGCGCCAGAGGACGACTATTACGGGGCCATATGGACGAGTTCCTATATCGTATGCATTATGATTTCAGAACATCTGAACCGTTATTAAACCTTAAGTTTTTAAATCACGTAGAAGAATATCCACTGTAATTCATTAGTTCCTTATAATATATTTTTACTTCATACCAACTGCCTTCTGATTGGCTAATAATTGCCAAGGTCACTTGAGATTCCTTCATTGTTCATCCATACATTAAAGCCTCGCCACAAAAAATCTTGGATTAAAATACTTACCTTTTAGTGGCTTCAAATGTTCGCTCTCTCTTTCTGTATCTACAGGAGTCTTTGTAGCAGCAATTGAACTAACCAGTGGCATTTTGTGTATTTCATTGATTACAGCAGTCATATCAAGAGTATCATTTACCGATTCCTCAAAAGTTAGAGCTAGAATAAGGAAAACATCACACTGAAAATATTCTACCAAAACAAATGTAATAAAGATTAACCAAAAGATAATAAACTCAACGTAATTTGTCCATCAGAACAAATTTGATATATTAAGAATACCCATTCTTGTTCAACTTTGTGGTCGACGTACTTTTAGAGATTACACTCTCCTCATCTAAATTTCCAGGGGTTGAACTTCTACCAGGAGGTTCACTTGTTGACTTAGAATATGCAGATGACATAGTTTTATTTGGTGAAGACGCTGACAAAATACAGTCTTCTGACTACTCTAAGCAACAATGCAAGCATGTTCGGCATGCAATTCTCTCCCTCGAAATGCAAAATGTTGCTTCAGGATTGGGTTACATCGACACCCGAACTAGTGATAGGGAGTGAAGTAGTTGAGTGTGTCGACCGCTTCACTTATCTTGGAAGTCTCATCAACCCTTGTGGTTTAGTGTGTGACGAAATCTCAGCACGGATACAGAAGGCTCGACTAGCTTTTGCCAACTTGCATCATTTATGGCGTAGGCGAGATATCCGTCTATCAACCAAAGGACGTGTTTACTGTTCAGCAGTTCGTTCCATCCTACTTTATGGCAGTGAAACATGGCCGGTAAGAGTAGAGGATATTCGTAGGTTACTAGTATTTGATCATAGGTGTCTTCGAAATATTGCTCGTATATCATGGGACCATCGAGTAAGTAACACAGTTGTTAGTAAACGGGTACTAGGTAAGGATGGCAAATCGATTGATGAAGTCGCGAAACTTCATCAGTTGAGATGACTGGGACATGTGTTACGTATGCCCAACGACCGACTGCCTCGACGTGTTATGTTCAGTGGTATAGGAGTAGGTTGGAAGAAAGCTAGGGGCGGCCAAACCAAAACATGGCACAAGTCCATGAAGTCACTGACAAGTGGACTGAGTCATGTTGGTAGGTGTAGACTACCTGGTTGGGGACCGCGAGATGATAGCAACCGATGGTTAGAGACCCTGAATGACATGGCTCAAAATCGTTTGGAATGGCGCAGGTGCATCCACTCTCTGTGTTCTCTCAAATTCTAATCTTCTGAATTCTTCATGTTCCTTTTTTCCTCTTTCAAAAATTTATTTCACTGGATTATACTCTTTAAATAACATCTCCAAACCCTAATCTTCCCGACTACTGCTTATACTCTTATTACCTCTACCACTACGGGATTTGAATCGACAAGTGCATCTCTGTGCTAATGTGGTGTGGCAACTCGAACTGATGTACGTACGTACGAAGTTCTACGTTGTTACTGACTGACTGATATTAAGAATGGCTTGAAGAACATACATAAATTTCTTATCAAATAGTAAAAGCGTCGAAAGTACCATAAGTCCATAGTACGTAAACATCTACACCAAAGGAGTGACACTGATGTAAACAAACCTGCAAAACACTCGGGTGACAAAGGTGCTTATTTCAAGTAAATCAAATACAAACAATATATATGTATATGAAAATGATCGGCTTACCAGTAGAAAATTCGTCATCCCATTCTAAATGAGTCATGAACTTTGGAGAACCTATAACCTCGCGTAGAGAATCTATGATAAAGTTTCCCTAGCTAATAACTTACCAGTACGAACGCCACTAGTAACTAAGTAGTGAGAATATGTAACAAAAGAGACATACCATGTTGTGGGACGTAAGACTCAAATGTTTGAGTGATTTTAGAATAAGATATATTCTCTTTCGGAGGAACATTGATTTCGTTTATTTGAGAAAACCCCAAACATTTGCGTTTTTTCTGGCTATCCGTTTTCGTACTTAAAGAATAGCAGTGATGGAATTTAAGCTTACTGTGGCGGATCCGAAGTCCCTTTAGAGAGAATACGATCGTCTGAAACCTGAGACAACGGTTCATCAGAAACAGCAATCCCAAGAGTTCTTAATAACTCTTCAGTTTCAATCCTAAGAACTTGGGCCGAACCATAGTTGTTGAGGTTATCTTGAGTTCCCCCATTTGTTCCATCAATCTTCACCTTGTCTCTTTTAATTTTGTTTTCCCTAAGAATAGCTAGTTTCGCTTTCTTCATCTCTAATTCAGCTTTTCTGTCAAACGTCGACATCTTCGTTGCCACTTATAAGAACCGGTTATTTTCACCTTGTGACAAGGCTAACATTCGCCCTTGAAGCTCCTAAACTCACAATTGAACTTTTTCAGCAAATAAAGGTATGAATGAAATAGTAAAAGGCGGAAATCGGCTTAAAGAACTAAAATTTAGAAAAATCAAACGTTTGATCAGTATTGCTTGTCTATTTAATGTGACCGAAAAACTTACTAAACCTGATGTCTTGCTTAACTTTATTCCTTGGGATTTTTGAAGAACAAGCCCAATCATACGACACAAGTGATTCGTTTTGACCTAAAGAGAATAGAGTAATAACACAGTCGATAGTGATTAACTGATGTATGCTCCAGTTGCATAGTGAGCATTATTCAATTAGCAACTCCCATCAGGTGCGTATCCAACGGCGAGCCACGTAATCAGTTCAAGGACTCAGATTCAAGCCTTATGATAAGCGCCTCCATTCACTAAACCTGTACCCATAAGAGCATAGGCGTCCTAGAGTTGACCTTTCAATGGCTTACAGTATCCTTAACACTTCTGGATATCCCCTCAAACACCTACATAGGTTTAACTCCAACAAAAATCCCAAGGGTAACTCCCAGAAACTAGAGGCACAACACAGCAGAACGGTCTGTAGACACACCTTTTACTCCTTAAGAGTTGTCAAATGCTGGAATTCGCTTTCGGCAAAGCTAGAACAAACGACTTTCCAGGAGTTCTTTAGGAGAAAAATTGACCTAATCTTGAGGACTGTAGCGGTAAATAAATCCCCAAAATAAATAGCCCTAAGTTTTCGACATTGGATGCTGACCATATGTTTTAGTGGACTCATCTAGCTGAAGGCGCTCGGTCATGCATCCGCACCAGATCACGTGTGGTAACGCCGTGCTCAACATTAACTGCAATCGCTAGCCAGATTAGATCAGAGAATTCCGATATATTGGTCATCGCCAAATATACTCTTCCGATCTCCTCGACTCTGTCTTTTGATTTCTCTGGGCGGGAACGAAATACATTAGGAGGTGTTACTGGTAGAAGCGTTGTCAAACACTGAATACCTGTGACATCATCATTGGTGAGACCGACGTGATCTGGTACACCTAATTCCAACTGTGAGTCTGTTCCTTTTTGGGATTTTTATATATCATTGCCTTATTTTTTTATTTCTTTTTAAACATTGTGATTTTTTTTTCGTGTTTTTTTCTTCGATATATATATATTTTCCCCTCGTTCATTATCGTACTTCATATTTCATCATGACTGAACAGACACCTAAAGTACTCAAGCTTAAGACCTTGTCCCCACCTTCGTTCCAACTGACGCCTTTCTGGCCAGACAACATCGAAGCTTGGTTTTGCTACGCAGAAGCCAACTTCTACGAGCACGGTGTGAACGACTCACGTGCACAATTCCTCGCAATAGTCAAGGCACTACCGCGCGAATTCAACAGGTACGTAACACCTAGTATGTTTACTAGTGATGTTTCCGATCCTTACGAAACCTTGAAACGTTCGATTCTTAAAAGAGGAGACCTAACCGATCGACAAATGTTAGATCGACCCTTCAGTAACATTGACCTGCAACACGGTTTTGCGACGGACATGTTGCAACGGAGGAGAGAGGTAATAGGCCCAAGAACTTTCGACGAAGGTCTATTCAAACAACTCTTCTTGTCAAAACTTCCCCAACAGTTGCAAGCAGTTCTGGTCTCGTTCCAGAACAATGCCTTAAACGAGCTAGCTGCATCTACCGACCGCATTTTAGAAATTACGAAATCTTCTACTACCGAGGTATTTTCAGTCAAAGAAAAGCCTCACACGACTCAGAATGATATAACCGACTTATGTCACACACTCACGCGTTATCTTAGTTTTCGTACCGACCGTAAGAGATCGCGCACACCAAGTAGAAGCATTTCACGTAAGCGATCTGTCTCTAGACCACGAGAGACAGATAACCCCGACTGGTGCTGGTATCATAACCAGTATGGAAAGTTTTCCAGAAATTGCAGAAAACCCTTCAATTTTCCCAACACGAAACCGACTGATTCGAAAAGCAATTCGGGAAACTTCCAAGCCGGCACGCGTTAACGGCAACCGTAGCCGGCGAACAAAGCCGTCTGTTATTCGTCACAGATGTGACAACGAGAGTTCGCTACCTCGTCGACACTGGCGCAGAAGTTAGCGTTCTCCCAGCAAATCCTAACGACCGACTTCAAGATTCGGCTCTAAACTTACAGGCGGCAAACGGAAAACCGATCGCTACGTATGGCAAAAGGTACGTTTACCTTAACGTGGGTTTACGCAAACCCATCCAGTGGATTTTCGTTGTTGCAGATGTTTCTATGCCAATCATTGGTATGGACCTTCTACAACACCACAATCTGATCATCGACACGCGCAAACGGAGGCTAGTAGACGGAAACACTAATTTGTCCGTCTGCGTAACTTCTTTTACTGGTTGTAGAGTATCCCCAGTCACAGTTAAACATATGATAGACCCACTCTATCAACCACTACTCGATAAGTACCCTGGGATACAACAAACTCAACCGAAACTACCGTGTGTAACCAGCAACGTTACACATCACATCACGACTACAGGACCACCTGTATTCTCTAAAGCACGACGACTAGCTCCTGAAAAGCTAAGGTTAGCGAAAAACGAATTCGATCACATGATGGACTTAGGAATCATACGACCGTCAAGTAGCCCATATGCATCTCCGTTGCACATGGTCCCTAAAAAGGACAGTAACGATTGGCGTCCAACTGGTGACTATCGGCGATTGAACGCGAAAACCATTCCCGATCGTTACCCGTTGCCTTACATTCACGATTTGACAGCTACCTTGAAAGGTACAACTGTCTTTTCGAAAATCGACTTGGTTAAAGCGTATAACCAAATCCCTATGGCTACTGACGACATACCGAAAACAGCTATCATAACTCCTTTCGGACTCTATGAATTTTTGCGAATGCCTTTCGGTCTAAGGAATGCTGCTCAAACATTCCAAAGATTCATAGACGACGTTTTTCGAGGTCTCAACTTCGTACACGCGTATGTTGATGACTGTCTAATCGCAAGTCCAGACAGAGAAACACATCTCAAGCATCTTGATCTTGTTTTCGAACGACTTCAAAAACATGGCATAACTGTAAACGTTCAGAAATGCCAATTCGGAACCGACTCGTTAGACTTCCTAGGACACTCTATCGATGCTCAAGGCATTCGAGCTCTTAGGACCAAAGTGGCGGCCATTCTGGATTACCCAGAACCGACCACCATCAAGCAATTACACACGTTTAACGGCCTCGTAAGTTTCTATAGACGTTTCATACCGAAATGCGCATTACTCATGAAACCTCTAACCGACCAACTTCGTGGAAATGCGAAATCCATTAATTTGGACGACACCGCACGAAAAGCATTCTCCACAGTTAAGGAACTGATTGCTAAAGCAACAATGCTCGCACATCAGGACACCGAAGCACCCATTAGCATTGCAGTAGACGCATCCGACTCGGCAATCGGAGGAGTCTTACAACAATGGGTTAACAGCTCCTGGAAACCATTGGCATTTTTCGCTAGAAGGTTGCTAGACACCGAATCAAGGTACAGCACATTCGGTAGGGAACTCCTAGCTATGTATTGTGCTGTACGGCATTTCCAACACTATATCGAATGTCGTGAATTCACTCTTTTCACGGACCATAAACCGCTCACTTTCTCGTTAAGCTCTCCTTCAGACAAGTACTCTCCCCGTTAGTCTCGACAACTGAACTACATTTCGCAGTTTACTTCAGACATTCAACACATCTCTGGAGCAAACAATGTAGTTGCAGACGCCTTATCTCGCATAACTTCCTTGAACAGTTTCCAAGGAATCGACCTTCTTAAACTCGCCCAGCTTCAAAAAGAAGACAGTGATCTTCAGCACGAGTTATCGTCCACAACCCTTTAACTACGCATCAAACAGATGGGAACAGGTAAGGAAACCTTACTGTGTGACAAATCTACAGCTAGGGATCGCCCAATCGTCCCAAAACGTTATCGACGCAACGTCTTCAATACGTTGCACAAACGTTCTCCTCCAGGTGTTTGTGCAACCATCAAGCTTATAGCAGAACGTTTCGCTGGCCTGGAATGAATAAAGACGTGAGGGAGTGGGCACGCTCTTGTGTAAGCTGCCAAAAATCTAAGATTATCAGACACAATAAATGACCCTTAGGCTCATACGAAGGACTTTTCAAAGTTCTTCAACGCGAACCGAAGTACTATATAGTCGATAAGAACGGAACCAACGAAAGCATCAGTATCGATCGCCTCAAAGCAGCGTACTTAGAAGGAAATCCTATCTACGTCGATTTTCCTTCGTTACAATCGAACGACACGACTCCACTCGTAATTCCTCAACCGACAACCAATACTAGCGATGATACTCCGCATGTATCTGAAAATAAACCTAAAACGACGCGTTCTGGAAGAAGAGTAAGATTTCCAGCACATTTAAACGACTACTGCACGTAAAGCACTAATGGACATTTTATATTATCTCCATCTTTCTTTTTACTATATATAATATTTTTAAAAAAAAAGAATTTTAATATGTTTATATATTTATATTTTTTTGCTAAAAAAAACAAAACAAAAAAAAACATTTTTTTAACGCTATTATGTGTGCTTGAGTATATTTTCCATTTTTTCGCCGACATTGAGTTTTTACGCACATACGAGTGTATTTCGACATGTACTTACACTTTCTTTTTTCTTTTCCAGGACGGCTGGAAAAGAACGATGCAGTTTACGAGGAATCGAAATTTTTCGTTGTAACTTTTTCTTTTTTTACTATGTTGTACCTCGGTCCCATATAGTAAGGAAAGACGACCAGACGCTGCTACACATAGTAAGCTATCAGAAGAGTGTTTACCAACGACAAACTCGTTGGGTTTAAACTTCGGGCTGGCCACGTCTTAGGGTCGTCACTACCTCACTAGGGGGGGGGAGTGATCTGTAGCGGTAAATAAATCCCCAAAATAAATAGCCCTAAGTTTTCGACATTGGATGC